TGTCCAGTTGCTCTCAGTTGCTAGAGGCGTATGCACTGAAAGCACTTTTGGAGTTTTATAAGCTGCAGTGAGAGTGGTCACTACAGATGGCACTGGTTTCTGTAACAGATCTTTTGTTCGCACAGCAAATTGGCTTTGTTGGGGAGTTGCGTTAGCTAAAAAAGTCAGTCTAAGTAATTATCTTTGTACTTGGGTTGGTCAGCAGGATCCAGTTGCCAAGTAAATAATGAGTCAGGGCTGGGGAACTGAGGGTCTTTACAAGTCTATATGAAGAAAATTCTGTAATACTGGAATGGAATTTGTGATCCTTTGAATCTCAGAAGTGGTAGACAGGTTAGACAAATTTCTTTAGTTGCCAAGAGAGACATAAAGGAAACTTGAGCTATGAACTCAGTCAGGAAATAACTTCTTGAGTTTGTTTCCCATAAAACACCCAACCAATCAACCAACTAACAACTATATGTGACCACGTAGAAAAAAAAAAACCACATTGGAAGTCTGATTAAAGCATGATGAACTTAAGGGTAATAAGTTTAGAAAACATGAAAGGCTTGAACAAACTGAAATTACAGTTTTTAGGTTTCTGGAAATTCTAACAAAATAATAAAATTTTAGATGTTTAAATAAATGCTCAAAGATAAAAAGAAAGATATGAATATTATTATTCTAGATAATGTGAAATTGATTTCCATCTCATATCCTTTATTTTTCATCTTTATCTGCCATGATACTGAAGAGTAACACTATGCTAAGCAAGGGAAAAAAGAATAACATGCAAATGCCTTACTTTGGCTTTTAAATGTTATATGAGACATTTTCCAAAGCCCCTATACAGACTATATTCCACTACTTAAGTGTTTAGTAGCTAAGTGTGAAACTATTTTTTGAAAGTCCACTTTGCAAATAACAGTCAAGAATTTTTCAGTCCATGTAATTCTCATGCCAACTTTCCCTGGTACAACTTTGCTTGCTGATTGGGCAAAGGGCTATTTTCCAGGCTGGAAAACGTGCCTACTACAACTTGGCTTTTGGACATAATGATTGGGTGTTTAGAAGGAGAACATTCAGTCACTTATTTTATCACCTATAATGTTCAGAAGTAATGAAACAAAACCACATATTGTACCATTCTAGTCCCCAGATTTTAAACTTATAGTACTTTTAGTATTAACCCAAAGATCAACACCAAGTGTGTTCCAGTCCTATGGGCAGGGTCTGGGAGCTGTAGTGAGGCATCATCCTTCCAAACTTGTAAATAATATTGCACTTTGAGTGCTCAACCATGAAATTGACCCAGAGTATCCAAGAAAGCAGTTTACATGTAGGAAAGTACTATATAAATATGTATATTTAATTTTTTAAATGAAAAAGCAATTTACTTACAGAAAGCAATTACTTACAGATAAGCAAAGACAGGAAGCATTAACACACTTAAAGGTGAGGCTTAGGCTTACTTAAAGACAAAAAATTAAAAAAAAATGTGGGGGCCAGCGCTGTGGCATAGTGGGTAAAGCCACTGCCGGCATCCCATATGGGCACTGGTGTGAGTCCCGGCTGCTCCACTTCCAATCCAGCTCTCTGCTATGGCCTGGGAAAGCAGCAGAAGATGGCCCAAGTCCTTGGGTCCCTGCACCCTCGTGAGAGACCCAGAAGAAACTCCTGGCTCCTGGCTTCAGATCAGTGCAGCTCTGACTGTTGTGGCCATTTGGGGAGTTAACCAGTGGGTGGGAGACCCCTCTCTCTCTTTGCCTCTCTCTCTCTGTGTAACTCTGACTTTAAAATAAATAAGTAAATCTTAAAAAAAAAATAAGCATCTGGAAGATAGGCTATCTGGTCAAAAGAAGAGGATGTCTTTCTTTTTTTTTTTTTTGACAGGCAGAGTGACAATGAGAGAGAGAGAGACAGAGAGAAAGGTCTTCCTTTGCCGTTGGTTCACTCTCCAATGGCCACCGTGGCCGGTGCACCGCGCTGATCCAAAGGCAGGAGCCAGGTGCTTCTCCTGGTCTCCCATGGGGTGCAGGGCCCAAGCACTTGGGCCATCCTCCACTGCACTCTCAGGCCATAGCAGAGAGCTGGCCTGGAAGGGGGGCAACCGGGACAGAATCCGGCTCCCCGACCGGGACTAGAACCCGGTGTGCCGGCGCCTCAAGGCGGAAGATTAGCCTAGTGAGGCGCGGCTCCAGCCCAAGAGGATGTCTTTCTAAAAGTCCATTCTTACTCAAAGAACTCAGGCAGGTTTGAGGCTGATATGCAAAGCTTGATGGACTGGAAGCATGTTTTGAATAAAGAAAGCTGAAGAATAAGGAACAGTGGGTGGCTTGGAAGAGGGTTGGGGCAAAGAGGGAGGGAGCAGAGTGAGTTTGGGAAACTCAGTATTTTTGCATGTGAGAAATGCCTGGTACAAGGACAGTAATGGAGGGACTTGAGCTAGGAGAGGGAAGGAGGCCTAGATCCTCAGCATAACCAGGATCAGATTTGACCCTAAAGAGCTTCCACCTGAGAGAAGCTGATAATAGGTACTATGGGTAAATGCTAAGTAGTCACTATCTTGTTGATAGTTTTGCATCATTCTTTACTTCACACTGTATACTGGAAAGTTTCCATTAATTAAAATTTTTCTGAGAAACCACTGTTTAAAATTAAATGGCTATAAAATACCCCCAGCATGATAATTTAGCAGTTCCACTCTTATTGGAATTTTTAGTTACTTGCATGTTTTTATTGTTGAAATAATCAGCGAACATTTTTGTATGTGTACAGAAATTTTAGATCTTATTTTTGATGGTTTCATGAGGAATTTCATGTCACAATGAAATTATTAAGTAGGAATATTTCAGACTTAAAAAAATATACCAATGTACACTCCTGTCATATGACATCATTGGCCAAGAAGGATCTTTTTATCTGTATCTAGTTGGGAGATAAAAAATAGTATCTTGCCTTTTGAATTTATGTTTATTTCTGATTAGCAAACCTGAAGACTTTTTCATGTTTATTAGAAACTATTTTTCCTGCCCATTTCCTCACCAAGAGGTATTAATGTTTCACATACTGATATGGAAGACCTTATTCTATGTTCGACATGAATCATTTGTCTTAAACATTTTTTTCCCCAGTTGACTTTCAATCGTGCCTTTGCCACTCACAATGTTAAGGCTTTAATTATGAGAAACTGTCAATCAACAAAAATGTATTGAATATCAGCTATGTTTAAGGCATTTTTCTAGGATCATCACTGAACAAAATGGTCAAAAAAATCCCTTATTATGTGGTACTTACATTTTAGTAAGGGAAGATAGACAACAAATTATAAGAATGATAAATATGCAAATTTTATTAGAATAAAAGTGCTAAGAGAAAAAATGGAGGACAGAAGGAATTGGAGATGGCGTTATGCAGGTTGTGATTTAAAATAATGTTTAGGGTGGGGCCCAATGAAAAGGCAAGCAGAAACTTGGAAGCTAGGGGGTTATTCTGCATATTATCTGCGGAGAAGAGCACATTGGAGTGAGTGAATAGCTGGTAGGAAGGGCTTATGGCTGGAACATGCCTGAAATGTTTGATCAAAGAGGTTGGAGCAAACCAGGGAGAAAAGTAGAAAAAGGTGCAATCAAGGAGATGAATGGTGTAATGAGATCCTGTAGATTGCTTACTATAAAGACCTGGGTGCAATGCAGAGTTCTGTGTAGAGGACATGATTTATTCTTTTTAAAGGACCACTCTGCGAGTTAGCATGAAAACAGAACAGTGGCAACAGTGAAGATGGTAAAAAAATGGTCTGATTCTAGACTTATTTTAGAAGTGCTATTCGTAGGATTTCTGATGGATTAGATATGGCCGTGAGAGGAAGAAGCAGAGGCAAAGAGGACCCAAGTATTTGGCCTGAGCTGGAGCACTGGATTTGCCTGCAGTTAAGAAGAAAATAGCAAGTGGAGTGGCGTTTTTGTGTTTATATTTAATTTTCCTAGGAATAACCCCAATTTCCGTTTTGGATGAAGTTGGAGATGTGAACTAGAAAGCTGACTCTGGAGTTTAGAAGCCATCTAGGTTACAGATGCTCATACACATCTGGGAGTCCTCGGCAGAGATGGTATTAGAAACCAGAGAACTAGAGAAACTAATCAGGGAGTGAAGCAGCCACAGGAAGCAAGAGCGGAACCCTGAGGCACTCGCAAGTGCTCTGGGAGAAGAAAAGCAGCAATGCGATGGAGAAGGAGCAATGGTGAGGGAAGAGGGAATGCAGGGAGGGTGGCATTCTGGAAGCCAAGGAGAGAGGTGGATCAAGTGCTGCTTCAGGAGGATGAAATGAACTCAAAGGATTTGGCAACATGAAGGTCATCAGGAACTCTGGCGGTTTCTCCCTCTGCATTTTACATATCTACATGCTACTTAAATATAGTTGGAATCTTATACTGGTGAAACATGACACATTAAATATTTCCACAATTACTCAACTTTTCTAATACAATTGAATAACAATTAATTTCTTGCTTCTATTAAGCAAAAATCCATATTCCTGTATTTTGCTGATTTTTGACTGGTATCTATTTGTGGTGAGTGGATGACATTGTGGAACAAAAAAAATTTTTTTAATCACATCTAAATTGGTTATGATGGCAAAATCTTAACAGAGTTTCAAATTATTGTGATTGGCTTAAATATAGTTTATTCAATTTATATAAAGGTAGAAACAATCACATTTTCATTAAAGTACCTAGAAACTGTCACCTTCTAATCAAATGTATAGTTTTCTCATAGAAAAAAGGAAATAAGAAAGGTAAGCCTGGGAATGCAATTTTTACCTCTGTGACTATTTCCCTTATTTTACTTTCAGCAGGATATGCTCAAAAACGATTTGATACGATTCAGTTCTAACCTGTCCACATAAATGCTTAAGGACATATTATCAATATTACTACAATTTAAGCACAAATTTTAATAACTCAAAATGTATGTCATAATTTCAAATAACTATTTCATTTCTGGTTTGTTATTTGCAGGCAACTCGAACAGAAAAATCAAAGCCACCAATTCAAATGCAGCATCAAATTCAACAAATGAAACATCCTACGGAGCTGATGATGTAATTCATGAAAAAATCAACATTGTTTATTAATGAAAAACCCTGTGTTCAAAAGGCTAAGGCTAAGGCTCACTGGAGAGATGGAGCAATAACAATGAAGAATACATTTCAAATGCAGTCGTAACATTGCTTTTAAAAAATTCAGCACTCACAAAAGCGAGACACAGGTGCATTTTTGAACATTCAATTAATTTATTCAGTATCCACTAAGGGTTTTTGATAGATTTCCATGTGCATAAGTTTATTTTTATCTGCTAATTAGGATGATTTTGTACTACCTGACATTATGCTAACTCTTCAGGATAAATTAAATATATCAATAACATAAGCAAACCTATTTGAGTTTATCTCATACTACCAGCATTTCATTATCTTTGTAAACTTGCCAGCAATTATTTTTTATAAGAGATGATATTGGATAGGTAAATCTCAGGGGGAACTGTATTATGAACTAGAAGTGGCATGTTCTTAAGTCTCTCAGAAACTAACCCATGCCTCCTTGGGGATATGGACTGCACACAATATATTGGATTTATAAAAGCCAATATTCAATAACAAAAAATCACCATGTATAATTTGCACAATAAGTATTCTGTGCAGCTCAAGATATAACCACAATAAAAATTCTTCACTGTTAATTTCCTAAAGAATCTCTGTAAGGAAAGTTACAAGACAAACAACTTCTTCAGTCCCATCTAATACTTTCACATCAATACCACCTAGGCATCTAGAGATAAAACCCGTTTCTGCAAGCTGTAATTGTTTAACAAAATTTTTATTCCTACATGTGATTTCTATTACAAGGACTCAGACCTGGTTTTTTAATAGAATTCATCATAACCTTAAGCCAGTGCTGCTGAACACGTTGGAAAACTAGACTTTCCAAAGGTGCTGGATGCAGCTTCTCTGGCCTGGCACAGAGAGAGTGCTTTATTGTTGTTGGGCATACAGAGTATATGGTAATTTTCCATAAGAATATCTTTTAGACCATCACTAAGAGAAGATTCTCTGATGGAAATGGTCTTTATCTGCACTGTCCGACCAGCTGACATGTGTCTACTGGGTACTTGAAATGTGGCTAATGTGAAGGAAAAATCAACTCTCAAAAATTTCAGTAATTTTATGTGGCTACACTGAATGATCCCATTCCAAACAATTATGGCAGTTATCCTACTGCCTGAGAGATTTCACTATTTTGCCAAGGTTTAAATATTAAAATTGCTTAGAGTGTTTGTGAAATTTGAAAGTTGAGACATTTCTATTACAAAGATAACATTTTATGTGGTCATAAATGCAAAGAAGTTTTATTTATTTTTGTGAGGGCCCATAAAACCTTTGTAAGTATTTGATATTTTATAGTTTTGATTCAGAATAACCACAGAAAAGTTGCTACCTGATACACAGGAGTCAGTATTATACTACTCTGTTGAATGAGGTGAAAATCCAGGTTGGTGAAGTTAAGGCACTGAGACAATTCTATTCTTGTTGCTCGAAGGAAAGGGCTATTGCTACATATGACACAAAGCGCAAGGAACTAAGACTCAGAGGCCAGAATAATTTAATGTATGAGCGAAATTCACGTCTTGGGATTTATAGCCCTTGCCTATATTCCTGCATGACAATGGTCTTTCCACTTTTTACTTACTGAATTCATTTAGTGGAGTATTAAACCTGTGACTATAGAAGTTTGTTATCACAAATTTTAAAAAAAAGAAAAAGCGAGGCAATTATCATTATATTCCCAGAATTGTATATGAGCTACATGAAATCTGTTATTTTCATCTTTTTTTTTTTTTAAGATTTATTTTATTTATTTGAAAGAGTTAGAGAGAGAGGTAGAGATAGAGAGAGAGGTCTTCCATCTGCTGGTTTACTTCCCAGATGGCCACAACAGGAGCTGTGCCGATCTGAAGCCAGGAACCAGGAGCTTCTTCCTGGTCTCTCACATGGGTGCAGGGGCCCAAGGACTTGGGCCATCTTCTACTGCTATTCCAGGCCATAGCAGAGAGCTGGATCGGAGGAGAAGCAGCCAGGACTAGAACCAGTGCCCATATGGGATGCCGGTGCTTCAGGCCAAGGTGTTAACCCGCTGTGCCACAGCGCCGGCTCCTGTTCTTTTCATCTTATAAAAAATTAGAAAAAAAAAAAAAAAAAGACTCAGTGCCAGTAACCTGCTCATTACCTCCTTTTCCTCCCACCCTGTGGGGAAGGTACAATGGAGTTGGTCATGGCTGGATGCATTATAGGTTGCGTTCTAGGAGAGGTGCCACAATTCTGCCAATTCATATATTTTTAAAGGAGTTGTGGTCTGAAGATGCTAGCCTTCACACCTGTGGTACTGTCACACTGGCCTAAAACACCCACTGCCCAGGAAGCTCAAATCCCAGAACAAGATGAGCTGGAGTCCTTGAAGTGCTCCCTTGCTGAGGCAGCTTACTACTAGCTTACCTGAGCCATGGCTACAGGGCTCCTCCCGGGGACCAACTGTTACACTCTACATAACTTTGAGGCGGTTATGATTCACAGATTAAGGCCAAACATTAAAAGCAAGAAGTCTTATTGAATTATGGCAGAGTCTGAACTTAGATTAACTCAGTAATCAAATTTATTTGAAGTCAGGTAACAATAATAAAACATAAAAACAAAATACATTCCAACTATATGTACATTTAATTCTGGGGATAAATCTGATAAAGAGTGTGATAGCTTTAAGTGTTTTTAAACAACTTCAGTCACGGTGTGATTTTTGGTAACAGTCAGACTGTACAAAGAAAAGTGGATCCAGAAGAAGAGTACAAACAATAGAGCATAAAGGAATCAAATTATTTTCTGTGTGGCCTTCTAATGAGAGCAATTTTACCTTTGCAACATTGTAGAATTACTGGGATGATGAAATGGATGAAATCAAACCTTGATAAAAGTAATTTCTCTCCTTAAAACTGTTTAATGACATCTCATGGCTTGCAGATTAAAGTACAAGTTCCCAAACATGCAAAATAAGACCTTCTCTTGCTCCTGAGAACTGAAAAGAGCTGTCTCAATTCTTCACATCAGGCATTACTCTCTTAATTTCTCTCAACTAGGTAAGGTAGCCCTCTGTGTTTCTACAAACCCATGTGGAGGTCAATGTTGCACTTATTTGTTCTAATATTTCTTCTACCAACAAAACTGTGAACTCCTACAGGGGAGCAAATGTGTCTTGTTTATCTCTGTATCCTGGCTTCTTAGCAGTGTTTGCCTTGCTAGCCACTCAATAAATGTTTGTTGAAAAAAGGACTCACTGGCATTCTTAGCAACATTATTCACTCTTCAGTCTAGGTTTCTATTGAAGATGGCCTAGGGCTATGCAATTTTAGACACAGCAGTAAATGCATATACATATAGTTGTTATACTTCTCATGTATTGATGTTTTGGCCTCAAAGAACCAAAGATTTAAATGGAAATGTATCCTGTGAAGAACTAGGAGTATCTTGAAGATTTTAGCCAACAAATGATACTGAGAAAACAAATGCGGAAAACATAAGGGGAGTAGGTCCATCAGCTCCAAAACAACCACCTCAAAGTGTTCAGATAATCTGATGACACTGAAATCTAAATTCTGTCTGCATCTGGCACAAATGACAACGTATCAATTATCTGCTTGAAGTTGAAGGTGTTTAATCTCTGTATTTAACAAACTCCATCTTTACTACTCATAGAATGTTAACTGCTTATCTATAATTTCTAGAATCAGTTTGTTACTAGAATTTCACGGAAACATTAATAAGCACATATATTAAAGACTGGACATGATCAGAGATAATCTGATATATTTTATAGGTAAAACACAGCAAGGCTAGGGAAACTAAATGACTTTGTTAAGGTCATGGTAGTTGGAATGGCCAGGACTTTTGGATTTTTACCAATAAATTCAGGTTTTCTTCTGCTACATACTGCATAGGATGAAACTTCATGAATTTTCTCCTAAAATATATTAGTGAATTTTGCATCTAATCCCAATAGTAAGATCATTTTAGAAGATAATTAGTAAAAATAAACGCTCTTTTCACAGATGAGATGATTCCATCAATTATGCTAATTTGTAAAGAAAATTTACTTAGACACCCACATTGGAGTGCTTGAGTTGGATACCGGCTCTGGCTTCTGACTCAAGCTTCCTGCTGATGCAGAGGTTTGTTGGAAGCAATGATAGTTCAAGTAATTGATTTCCTGCCACTCACATGGGAGACCGAGATTGCATTCCAGACTCCTGATTCTGGCCCTGGCCCAGTCCTGGCTGTTGAGGGCATTTGGAGAGTTAAACAGCAGATAGGAGCTTTCTTTTGCGCTTCACTTTCTTTCAAAAAAATTTTTTTTTAATTCCAAGATTGCATCCAGGGAAAAAAAAGTACTGAACACGGAAATCTTTTTTTTTTTTAAGATTTATTTTATTTATTTGAAAGACAATTACAGAGAGAGGCAGAGCCAGAGAGAGGAGAGAGAGAGAGAGAGAGAGACAGAGAGAGGTGTCTTCTATCCTCAGGCTCACTCCCCAAATGACCGCACCGGCCAGAGCTGAGCTGATCCGAAGACAGGAGCCAGGAGCTTCTTTCGGGTCTCCCACATGGATGCAGGGGCCCAAGGACTCAGACCATCTTCTACTGCTTTCCCAGGCCACAGCAGAGAACTGGATTGGAAATGGAGCAGCCAGGAATCAAACCAGCACCCATATGGGATGCCGGGTCTGCACGATGGGGCTTTGACCTGCTGTACCACAGGCACCAGCCCCGAGCACTGAAATCTTGTCCTTTGTATACTTCGTTAGTTAATGAGGGCTTTTATATAACTTCTGGATCATTATTGTATCAGCACTCAGAAAACAAACCAAATGAGCCAGCTTGTAACTTTTATAATTAACAACTGTAAAAACTTACAAATAATTGGATTGTTTCACTATAATTGCTATCATTTTAAACCACTTTACACACTCAAAGAGATGAAGCCATCCTTCTGTATGTAGCATCTTGTAATCATTTTTATAAAAGCTTTTTAAACTTATTTTTTCAATCAATCTTGATAACTGCATTTTCATAATATTAGTAGCAAAACCAAGACAAACCCTTCAAAACCCAATACTCTGTGCTTCTCTCCCAATACCTGACAACTATTTAAACAAAATAATTTCTTTTTGAGTGGGCCAAATTACTACATTAGATTACGGAAAAGCTGGGAGTATGAGAGCTTCAATGGTTGCAGTGCTAGAAAAGAAACAAAGATGCAGTTCTCACATAGGTAAACGTATGCTAAGAGAAATGATGAAGCCTCTCAAATTCGACAAAGGGTATGCCAGGTGAAGGAAGAACCCCTAAACCTTCCAGCCAGCGAGGTTAAGAGTACTTACCTGATTTCACATCAAAAATTCACCTGTAGCCATGTCTAAGGGTTAATGATTTTAAAGTGTGTAAGTGTACTACAATGAGGTATTTGCAATCTTTGGTGCTGTGCCATGAAAACTGGTAGACTGGTGATGCTGCTACAACATGGTAAGTATTTAACTTCCTGGGCATAAGGGATAACCAATTAATAAGCAAAATAAGTGACACTGATCATTGTCAAATTAAAAATTTAAGAATTATTTATATCTACTAGTAGGTGTTTCAAAATGCTTACCCATATAAATTCCCATTGTTGTATAAGGCTTTCATGATAAAACTCCATGGCTCTTGAATTTTAAAAAGTATAGAATAAAATTTTTAATTAAAAATCTTTGTTGCTGCTACTGAGATTTATCACTGAAGTAAAAGAGGGAAACATCCTCAGTGTGAAATTTGCTTCAAAACTACAAATTATTTCAGACAAAATAAACATATATGCTCACATTTATAAACATTTTCCACATTATTCATAGAAGTGAGATCAATAAAGTTTACATATTACATACAATAAAAATCAGTTATAATGAAGATTTAGTTTTCTTACTAAATAAAAATTTCTGTGTTTGAGGTATCACATGCCAATATGGCACACTGGTAAAATAACCCAGGAGTCTACCTGAAAAATCCTGACTAACACACATCGGCTCTGTGAGACTTACTAGTAGGCTGGACTAGACTAGTTTCTTTAAACAGGAAGGAAGATCTTAACTGTTACAAAACAAAGGAGGCACAAAATAGAAACTGCATTTCATAAAAGAACAAAATTTTGTTGTAAAAGTTTTCATTATCATCTTCTTGCCCACACTGTTCATTTAAAAAGTCGTAGTCAAAACCAAAAAAGCCTAGAGATTTAAAAACAGCAGTGAAGGATTTCACTCTTTGTACATTACATTATAGCATATAAAGCTATTAAATATTTTCAGTGTCAAGAGCAAAGCATTAACCCCTACCTAGCTTCTTCACTGGAAGATGGACACTTGATTCATTAACTGCCAGGTGGATTACCTGTGCTGACTGTAATAAAGCCATTTCACAATCGATTTAAGATGTAATAACACTAGTCAAACACATGGAGACACAAATACCAAAAGTGATGTGTTTTGTATGTATAAATACCTATGCTTAGGGCATGGTTATCGAGTATCAAGACTGGTTTAACGCTTTATATCATAGTACTTGAAAAACATACTGTCAGGAAGATAATCATCCCACATATGAAAACTATCTATATGGGGAAGGCCATGATTTACTACAAAGCATAAATAGATAGCAAATTCTAAGGAAGGACAAGTAACTGTGAAGAACAAAATTTTAAATTTAATGTTGTAGGCCAAAGTCTCAAGTCACTTTTTGGAAAATTCAGAACTATTCGGAGTCGAAGAATGCTTTTCCTTTTTTCTCTTCTTTTTTTCCTTTTTGTGATGTTTCCCTTTTTTTGATTTATTCTTTTTTTCTTTCTTCTGATATTTTTGTTTCTTCTGTTTTGAAGTGTCCTCTTCATCAGAAGTAGATGAATGAGACCTAGAAGCAGTAAGACATGCTGACTGATAAGTGCAGATGACTGACGGGTCCATTTAAGTGAGATTTGAGTTGCCTTACATGCTTCTTGGAGTAAGGAAAAGGTATAAACATAAACGCATTCAAAACGTGCTTCATATGTTTGTATTCTCTTAAAATGCTGACTTTCACGTTTTGCTACTCGATTACAGACATTGACAAAACTACCACAACAGCCCCCCCTCATCCCCAAGATCCTCAGTGGATGCCTGAAACCTCAGATGGCACTGAAATGTATATATTTGATGTTTTTCCCTGTACATATGTATCTATGATGAAGTTTAATTTATAAAATAGGCCCAATAAGAATGAACAATAACCAATAAAATAAAACAATGTTCTGTAATAAAAGGTGTATGAATCTGATCCAATTTCTTTGGTTTGAGGTATGACAGCATAACTTGCATGTCTTTTTCCTTCTTCTTAATTATATAGATGATTCATTCTTACTACACATATTAACAACCTCGCATACATACTTTTTAAATTCTTTTATTTCTTAACTTATTGAGAACTCTCACCTTTTCACTTAAAGGAAGCACTTTGCTACTTCTCTTTGGCATATCTGAATTGCCAGTATCTCTACTCTTGCACATTGGGTGTCCTTATTAATTAACATAGGGTATTTGAACACAAGCACAGTGATACTGTTCTAGCTGATCTGAGAACACAAGGGCTACTAAGTGACTAATGGGCAGGTAGTGACTATAGCATGGAAAAGCTGGACAAAGGACTAATTCACATTCTGGATGAAATGAGAGAGCATAGATTTCATCATGCTACTCTAAATGGTGCAAATTTAAAAATGTATGAGTTATTTATTTCTGGAATTTTCCATTTCATATTTTTGGATTGGAGATGACTGCCGGTATCAGAAATCTCAGAGAGCAAATGGATAAGAAGGATACTAGTTTATTCTGCTCAACTCTAGTAATGAGTTTTAAATTCAGCAAGGATGAAACTATTTTCTGTGGTTTTTAGCTTTTCATGCCTACTTTTCAAAATCTCATAAGGCAAACAAAGTGGCATTCATTATATATAACCTCATTATATATACAACTCACTTGTTTATATAATAGCTTGTTGGCACAGTCTCTTAAAACAGCCACAAAAGATGTGATTATATATCTTTAAAAGACTATAATTGTACCTTAGTATAAATGGATGAAAGCTGAAAATTAGCAACATGAAAGAGCTTTTGTTAACTCTTTTGATTTTTCAAGTTAAAGTACTTGATCCTTCTAGATGCTGAGTGATACAGATAAATACTTTCATTATAAAATGGTTGTCATTAGTTACAGAAGGATGCTTTTTAATGAATATTCTGTATAAATCAATGTGGATGATTTATATTTTATTTTATTAAGCTGGAAAGAAATGGTAGAATTACTATTTTTTTCTTTTAAAAAGTTTTTGTTTATTTTAATTTATCTGAAAGGCAGAGAGAGATCTTCCATCTGCTGATTCACAATGGAAATGCCTGCAACAGGCAGGGGTGGGCCAATCTGAAGCTCGGTTTCCCATGTGGGTGGCAGGGACTCAGCAACTTGGGCTATCACCTGCTGCCTGCACTAGCAGGAAGCTGGAGTCAGAAGTGGGCACCAGAACGGAAATCCAGGAACTCAGATACGAGATGCAGTTGTCCTAAGCGGTGTCTTTACCACTGTGGCAAACACCTGCTAGAATTACTTTTAATATGAAAAAGAAATCTAAAGAAACAAAAAAATTGCTATGTTTTAAGACATATTACATGAGGAAGTAACAGCCTATCTATACCCAAATCGTCTGTGACAGGACAGAAATTTATTTAATTAAAAATAAAAATGCCATCTCAAGAGTAGGTCCAGTGATCTAAGTGGCATAAGTTAAAACCTAAATTAAGAAAACGCCAGACAGACATAAAGGAGGCAGACACAATAAGCACGTGAGAGGATGAGATTGCAATGCTATCTTGCACAGTGACTTCTGTGAATTCCTGGGCTGCTCTCCTCTTCTGACTCCACACTTTCCCTCATCTCCATAATCCTATATTCCTTGCTTCCACTTGTCAGTCTACAGACTCAGACTTCTGATCATCAGCAAAGTTCATTTTCTCCAGTCTTTTCCTGCTCCTTCTTTAGCGCTGTTATTCTCAGATCTTGTCTGCTTTCCTATTTTAAAGGTCCTGCTTGATTTGACCTTTGGATTCTGATGACAGCTTCTTCTCTGTCTGCACTTTTTTCTTTGGCTTTTTGATCCTGGATTCTCATTTTGAAGGCAAAATTTTAGGCATTGGCATCAACAACACTATTAGGTGGTGCCATTTCTGCTATGTGTACATAGAAGAGTTAATTTAGTTTCAGGCCCTGTTTAAGGTCTATAAGGCTCAAGATAGAGAGCTGGATACTTTGTTACTATAAAACAAGTTTATGAGAATTTGGAAGAGTTAACCTCCTGTTTCCTGTAAGCAATCCACCTTGCCGTGCTAATGCAAATGATTCAATAATACAATTGTCAGAAGTTCTGAGCCCTCCCTTTTTATAAGTTTTTACATTCAATATTATTACTAACACAACACTTGAAAATGAGCTAACTTTTCCAATTTAGAAAGTATCTGAGGTGTTAACATGTAGGCATTAAGTGAGTACAGACCACTCCTAATTTACAGTACTTTATGAGAGAACTGGATCCAAACCAGACACAACCATGGCCAAGTACCTTAAATAATGTTTGTACATGTACATTTACTCTAGTATAAATGAAACTGTACTCATTAACCAGGGAACATTTTGCTTGTTAATATTTCTGATTAATTTTAACAAGTTAGTTGTTAAGAGCAGAAAAATTCAGAGGTACTTCATGCAGGTTCTGAAAGATCTAAAGGAATAAGTTTTATTAAATTCTATTAATTAATTTTTTAGTTATAAAGATAATATGAGAATGCAAATATTTAAGTTCCAACTTCATGTATATGAAGTCAAAACATATGTCACGAGTTTAGATATATGTCCAATTAAAAGTTTACCTGCTGTTCTAATACTTAAAAATATAGAGCACAAACAGAAACAGAAGAAAGGGGCTATTATTTATTAGGGGTGGGGCATGTGGCCCAGTAGTTGATGCACACTTCCCGTATTGTAGCGCTCGGGCTTGATTTTCAGGTGTAGCTCCCAATCCCCACTTGCTGTCAGAGCTGACACTGGAAGGAAGCAAGCGACTGCTCACGTAACTGTGTTCCTACCACACAAAGGAGACCATGCTCTGGCACTAGCGCAGCCTGGGGCACTATGAGCATCCGGGGAGTGAATCAGTGTTGGAGATTTGCCTGTCTACCTCTCAAATTAATACGTACCTTTCTAGAAATGCAAAAATTAATATTAATTGGACTACATATAAAAAATAAAATTTTAAAATCCAGCTTCAATATAGTCTTTTTTTTTTAAATAAAATACCTTTTCCTTTTTTTTTTCAATTTGATTTTCTCTTTGCTTTTTTCTCTTTTCTTCTCCTCTTCTTCATTTATTCCTGTGGAAGACAGGTGGGAAGGAAAAAATCAGATCACTATGAGTCTAAAAAGCATTTTATTTCAGAAGAGTTTTAAACTTATAAAAGAAAAATTATGAGGTAATAATAGAAAGAGTTCCCATTTATCCCTCACCCTGTATCCCCTATTAACATTTCATATTAATACAATTAATGAACTACACCCAGCTTCTATTTTTTTAATTCCAAAAATCTTTTACCCTTTTCATTCCTCCCAGCCCCTATTAGTCAACATGATGATGGACACCTTGGTTTACTCCAGATTCTGGCTGTTGTGAATGGTGTTGCTATAAACATGGTGGTGCAGGCATCCCTTGGATACAGTGAGTTCATGACTTTTGGTAATATACCCAGTAGTGGGATAGCAGAATCACATGGCAGTTCCATTTCTATTTTTTCTTTTTTAAAGAAATCTCCATACCATTTTCCACAGTGGCCACATTAAATTACATTCCCCAAAACAGTGTAAAAGAGTTTCCCTTTCTCCACATCCTTGCTAACATGACAGCATTTGTTACTCTTTTTTTTTTTTTTTTTTTGACAGGCAGAGTTAGTGAGAGAGAGACAGAGAGAAAGATCTTCCTTGTTTGTTGGTGTACAAAGATGTTATTGATTTTGTATTTTGATTTCATATTGTGAATTCACTGAACTGGGTTTTCAGTTCCAACAGCTTTTTGGTGGAGTGTGCAGGGTTTTCCATGTACGACATCATGTCATCTGCAAACATGGATATTCTGACTTCCTCCTTTCCAATTCTGAAGCCTTTTACTGCTTTCTCTCCCCTAACTGCTCTTGCTAATATTTCCAATACCTTATCATCTTGTTCTAGATCTGAGGGAAAATTGTTTCTGCTTTTCCCCATTCAGTATGCTACCGACTGTTGGTTTGTCATATACAGCCTTTATGTTTAGGTATGTTTCTTCGGTACCTAATTTTTGGAGAGCTTTTATCTTGAAAGGCTGTTGAATTTTTTTTTTTTGAAATAAATTAGTTTATTCTTTCAAAGAAATGAAACAACAGGGGATGAATGAGGAAAGGAGCACCCCTGGCCACATTCCCTGCCCTAAGCAGGGGTCTGAGATGAGGCCAGGCCAGACCACGGCTCCCTGTGACACTGGGGAAGCAACAGGCAGGCTCCAGAGAAGGACTTTGTTCTGTTAGCACCAGGAGTCCTCCGCAGGTGCACCTGCAGTGTGTGGCCCTTCTGCCCCAACGTGAGCAGTCTGGGGAGGGGCTGGCGGCACCTGAGGGTGACTCCCACATCTGCACCCCTGCGCTCCCAACTGCTGTAAACATGAGAGCAGCTCATGGCCCCCAGGGTCTCAGGTGGCCCAGGACCTGTTGGCTTTCTCCTGTGTGGACAGCTGGTCTCCCTGTAGGCCACCATCTTGGACACTGGTCTAGGAGCAGGGCGTCACAAAGTGGCCTTGGGGCTTTGGGGCCAGCCCTACCTTCTCAGGCTTGGCCTGGAGGAAGCCCTGGTTGAGCAGGCTTTTGTCCTTTTTGGCTGCAGACAGGACGTGGCTGGTGGAGCCAGAGAGGACGCTGGTCGGCATAGCCAGGCCCCTGGGCATTGCAGACATCACCAGCTTCTTGTCCTCGTCCACAATGTCAAGAGCCAGAGACTTCCGCACTTTCTTGACGGGGCTCGGCCACGTATATATTTTCTGATTATAAAATAATGCATATTCAGGGGCTGGTGCGGTGGCTTAGTAGGTTAAGCTTTCACCTATGGCCCAGGCATCTTATATGGGTACTGGTTGGTGTCCCAAATGTTCCTCTTCTGATCCAGCTCTCTGCTGTGGCCTGGGAAAGCAGTACAAGATGGGCCAAGCGCTTGGGCCCCTGCACCCACACGGGAGACCCAGAAGATCCTGGCTCCTGGCTTTGGATCGGTGTAGCTCTGGCCACTGGGGCCATTTGGGGAGTGAACCACTGGGTGGTAGACCTCTCTCTCCCTCTCTCTCTCTCTCTCTCTCTGTAACTCTACCTCTCCAATACATAAATAAAATATTTTTTAAAAACAACAATGTGCATTCAATGTAGACATTTTTCTAATAAAAATTATAAAAAAGACAAATTTTGTTTATGAAGCCAGGAAGCATCAATGTAACTTTACAAGGCAGGGAGTACAGAGACCAGCTTGTTTCACAGAATCTTAGGAAATTTAATTGACTACACTTTTGTTCATTTAACTAATATTAACGAAATCCTTATGTACCAGGTACTGAGTGTTTGATGTCCACAGTTCCTGCCTTCTTGGATCTTGTGGTTATGTGGTAAGAGAAAAAATAAAGAAGCAAACAAAGGAACACTGTAGGTGAAGAGCAAGGGCAGTGTGTGTATATATGTGTGTGTGCGAGAAATATATATTAGTGCTGAAAGTCTGTCTTGAAGTCCTGCTTTGGAAATACTCCACAAATGTGTATTTTTATTTTCATTCATTTCAAAATAATTTTCTTCTGCTTTTTTATTTTTATTTTCATTCATTTCAAAATTCATTCATTTTATTTTATGTTTATTTTAATTTTCATTCATTTCAAAATAATTTTCTTCTGCTGCTGTTTCTTTGACCCAGTGAATTATTTAGAAGAGTGTTAGATTATAAATATTTGGGAGTTTTCTCAGTAACTTTCTGCTATAGATTTCTTTTTTTTTTCTTTTTAAGATTTATTTTATTTGTTTGAAAGAGAGTTACAGAGAGAGGCAGAGACAGAGAGAGAGGTCTTCCATCTGCTGGCTCACTCCCCAGATGGCTGTAATGGCCAGAGCTACACTGATCCAAAGCCAGGAACCAGGAGCTTCCTCCGGGCCTCCCATGTGGGTGCAGGGGCCCAAGGACTTGTGCCATCTTCTACTGCTATCCCAGGCCATAGCAGACAGCTGGATGGGAAGAGAAGCAGCTGGGACTAGAACCAGCACCCATATGGGATGCCAGTGCTTCAGGCCAGGGCTTTAACTGGCTGCGCCACAGCACTGGCCCCTCTGCTATAGATTTCTAATTTAATTTCTTTGTGGTTAGAAAATATACTTTGCATAATTTAATCCTTCAAAATTTACTGACACTTGTTTTATGGCATAGATAAGATCTGTTGGTAGATGTTCAGGGTGCATTCAAAAAAATATTGGTTTTGCTGTTGTTGGATGAGACACTATAGAAATGTCAAATATGCCAAGTTGAATGCAAGTGTTATTCAAATCTACATTCTTACTGATTCACTATCTACTTGTGCCACTAATTATTGAGAAGGGTGTATTGAAATCTCTGACTATAGTTGTGGATTTAAATATCTATAAGGAGTTTTGCTTGTAATTCTATCAGGGTTTGCTTCATATATTTCAAACTTTCTTGCTGGATGCATATATACTTAGAACTTTTATGTTCTCTCAATTAAGTGAACCTTAACATTATGTAAAAAGTCTCTTTGTTCCTAGTACTATTATTTGTTTTGGAATCTACTTGATCTTATATTAAAATAGCCACTTCAGTTTTCTTTTGAGTAGCTGTGGCTTTTTTTTTTTTTTTTTTTTTTTTTTGGTAGCAACAGTAATGTCAGAACTACTGCAAACATGTCCAAAAGCAAAAGAGAATATAAGGAAGTAAAAGAGTAGCAAGGGAATAATTTCCTCTTCAATACAGGGAGGATGGGTAAGGAGTCTATTTACCAGATTACACAGAGAAGTAAGTCCTAATAAAAAACAGATAAGCAAAAACTTCAGGAATCTTTCTTCCTGGGCATCACCCGTACGAGCTGAAAATAACAGGCTCTGAAAATCTCAGTACTGAAGACAGTGCTCTATTTATTGAGGTTTCAAGAGAGCACCCTGCGGTGTACATGAGAAAAAGCTTTTGAGTTTTTGCAAATTAACAAGATCTTAGAAACTACTACCACAAATCTTCGGAGGACAAAATAGAAGGCGGGAAGGTCCTCGTGTACTTCAGCACTTAGATTTTCCAGGAGTCACCAAAGAGTGGTGGTCTGCTGTGTAGCACACAGAGGAGTCCAGGTTACACTCCAGTGCACAGAGACAGCTTCGGGACGGTGCCTAAGACCTAGCCCAGCAGCAACAGGAGACTCAGTTCTTTGATCCTTGTACAGCTGCACTAAGTTTGTAGCGACGTTAGCTGCTTTAAAACCAAGGACTAGGCAATTTCCTCTTGGTTCTTCCTATCAACCACAGAGCAAATATCTTATGTACATGTCTCAAAAAAAGATTATATTTTAGGCCAAATATAGGCTTTACTCTAGTATCCTGTGGATTCACTTAAGCTTTAGTTTTATAAATGTTGAAACCACCGTTGTAAGCCATTCGTTTGAATCTGACTCTAGCAGCTACTAAAGGAAAGGACAGAGGCAATTACAGAAATATGCAGGGGCCGGCGCCATGGCTCGCTTGGTTAATCCTCCGCCTGTGACACTGGCATTCCATGTGGGCGCCGGGTTCTAGTCCCGGTTGCTCCTCTTCCAGTCCAGCTCTCTGCTGTGGCCCGGGAGGGCAGTGGAGGATGGCCCAAGTGCTTGGGTCCCTGCACCCGCATGGGAGACCAGGAGGAAGCACCTGGCTCCTGGCTTCAGATTGGCACATCGCCGCCTCTGGCAGCCATTTGGAGAGTCAACCAATGGAAGGAAGACCTTTCTCTCTGTCTCTCTCCCTCACTGTCTATAACTCTACCTGTCAAATAAAAAAACTATGCAAATACCTGAATTAGAATTATCTCACAGGTAGTTTTCAATGCCAACTATCTTAAGTAAAACTAAGTGTGAATTTAACATAAAACTCTTAGGAAAGCAGATCAAAGAAAAGAAAATAACTAGGCCCCAAATACCCCAATTTGTCAAACTATAACATTCTCTTCCTGGACTGAACTAAAAGAATATTGTAAAATATTAGGGAAGAAATAGGAGAAGACTACTCCCCAACTGCAAACTGCAACTACACAACACTGGGTAAAACAGAAACAGAGAAAAATCATATTCTTG